GCTGTGAGCTACGATGACAACACCCCACTCTACCCAGGGCAACAGAGTGAGCCTCTGCCTAAAAAAAAACAAAGTTCAAACATAGGGAGAAATTGAAAGAAAGAACTGTTCAGTAAACAATATTTCTACCACCTAGATCCTAGAATTAACATTTCTTATTTGCTTTATCACATATCTATCAATCTATCTCATATTTAAATAGTTTTCCAAGTTACAAATATCAGTACATTTCACATCCAAATCCTTCAAAAGCTTATTGACCGAAATTCAGTATATGCTTCCCCATTTCTCTTTTGGCCAGAGGAAGGCAAAATTTACATACAGTAAAATGCACAAATCTAAAGTCAGTACCCAGTTTAAAATTGCCTTGTCACCAAGGCTCTGGAGCCAGACTGCCTGGATTCAAATCCTGGTTCTGCTACTTGCTGTGTGATCTCCACAAGTTTCTTAACCTTTCTGTACCTCAGTTTCCTCTTAGAATTTTTGTCAGGATTAGAAGAATAACTAAAGTATGTAGATCAGTGGCACACACATGCTAAGTGCATTTTATATATCAGCTATATTATTATCATCATTACTGAAACAGAGATGTCATGAAGAGTGGGAGATGATCAGGATCACCTCCACCTTCCTTGGACCTGGTCTTTCTTCCATCAACTCCTACTGTGCTGCCTATTTCTACCCATCATTTGGTCCTGGCTGCTTTGTTTTGGTTACTCCTGCATTTGTGTCCTTTCATTCATTTATTTGTAAACATTTAGTAAGCATTTACTAATAAATGGGGCCCATTGCAGACTGTGAAGCACTTGAGGATCGGGTGTGCCTTATCCTCCTGTCTTTACTCTTTATAACAAGGCAGGTGACACTCCACTTCGATCCTTCCTCAGGGATTCAGCAGTCAGTGGTGAGGCTGCGATTTAATTTTTCCTTTTCCATCTAGCACAAGGGGCTAGGGGCGAGCAAGGGAATGGGAAAAGATGGGGATCAATTCTTTTCAGAGACCCAGCCATCTACCCCTTAAAACCCAGTCCTTTCCTCTTTCTCCAGTTCTTTTTTTGGGAGGAGGTAGAGTCTCATTATGTCACCCTTGGTAGAGTGCTGTGGCGTCACAGCTCACAGTAGCCTCAAACTCTTGGGCTTAAATGATTCTCTTGCCTCAGCCTCCCAAGTAGCTGGGACTATAGGCACCTGCCACAATGCCTGGTTATTTTTTCTGTTGCAGTTGTCATTGTTGTTTAGCTGGCCCAGGCTGGGTTTTAACCTGCCAACCTTGTGCATGTGGCCTGTGCCATAACCACTGTGATACAGGTGCTGAGGACCTTCTTCAGTTTTTGACCTCAGAGATGTGGACCAGCTCTCCCTCTAGTACCTATCTCTGGAGTGCATAAAAATGCAGACCATTTTGGAAACCTGGAGATCTGTGCTCTCATTACACAAGCTACCTTCCCTTCCTGGGTCTCCAGTTTCCCTCCCTGCTGAGCCAGAAGATCTTTAAGGCCCCCTGCAGTTCTACACCAGACAGTCCATTTCTCTAACCCAACTCTTTCCCCAGTTCAGAGAACCCAGGCATTCTGCTGCCTCACCCCAGCTCTGGGTAAACAGGAAGCTGGGTGAGGGGAGCAGGGGTGTGTGGAAAGTCCCAGCCAGGTGTGTGAGTCTACAGGGACCGGGCAGCCCCACCCCTGAGGTATGAAAGCCCCCTGCCCTGGCCCTGGTTCAGTCTCAATGGGGGCACTGTGTCTGGAGGGCAGGGGTGGGAGGCCCCAGGGGAGAGGCTCCCTCCTGCTGGCTGTGGCAGGAGCCACTTCCCTGGTGACTCTGTTGTTGGCAGTTCCTATCACTGTCCTGGCCGTGCTGACTTTAGTACCCCAGGATCAGGGAGGCCCGGTGAGTGGCTGCAACAGGCCCTGATGAAGGCTTCTATCTTGCCAATTGCTCACCTCCCTCTGGCTTTGTCTGTGTTCTTTTGCCTGGTCTGGCTCAGGGGTCCCTGGGGGAATATTTTGTCTCTTTGCTTACTCTTTTTCCATGTTCCTGTGAGGTTATATCTTGCTGTCTCCAAGCCCCTTCTGTCTCCTCTTTTCTCTACACTCAAAGATGTGTGCCTCGCTTGCTTTTCCTTTTAGGGAAATGTGTTTTGGGTATGATGCTAGTGAGAGAAACCCCCGGCCTGGAGCTTGGGTCCTCTTTGGGAGAGATGGTCCTAATATTAGCTGAATCTGAACTCTGGTTATTGTCACCTCACCCCAACAGGTAACAGAAACGGCTGACCTTGGGGCACAGGCCCAGCAAGGACAGGGTAAGAGTAGACCATCTCCTCTCCCTTGCTCCAGCCCCTTAGGGACTCCCAGATGCTTCCGTGTTCCCAGATATCCTCTTCCTTTAGGAATCCAGGCTCCCCATCCGTGGGTCTTGACACTTTGTCGTCTCAGGGGAGCATGCACAGGCGGCCAGCTTGAGCTCCTCAATCATGAACTCTGCCCCTTCCAGGATTTCGGGAGCTGCAGGAGGAGGAGCCAGAAACAGATCTTAGCCCCAGGCGGCCGGCTGCCCATCTCATAGGTAAGGATCTCACAGACCTGAGTAAGTGTTTCCATAATCTAGAAGTGCCAGTTCAGCTCTCCCAGGGTCCCTAGGCTCAGTTATTCCAGTGCTAGGCTTCCCACTGCTTCACCGCCTATCTCTCACCCCGAAGTGCCCACCCTTTCGCTCTTCCTCCCATCGTAGCTGCTTCTTCCCTCCTGAGCAGGCTAAACCCAGCCTGGATGTCCCCACCACAGCGCTCTCCAACCCATATTCAGGTGCCCTCAGCCCCTAACTACTACTCATCAGAGGGAGCGTGGTCACCCCTTCCTCCTGCCTGGCTCGGTTCCTGCAGGGGGCTAAAAACCGCCGCCCTCCTCGGGGTCCCGGGCCTGAATGGCTCCTTTGGGATCGGATTCCCTAAGAGCTCACCGGCCCCTTTCTCAGCAGGCGCTTGGATGAAGGGGCAGGGGCTAGGCTGGGAGGCGACGAAAGAAGAGGCGTTTCTGAGGAGCGGGACGCAGTTCTCGGACGCTGAGGGGCTGGCGCTGCCGCAGGACGGCCTCTATTACCTCTACTGTCACGTCGGCTACCGGGGCCGGGCGCCCCCTGCCGGGGGGGACGCCCGGGGCCGCTCGGTCACGCTGCGCAGCTCGCTGCACCGGGTGGGGGGCGCCTACGGGCCGGGCGCTCCCGAGCTGCTGCTGGAGGGCGCCGAAACCGTGACCCCGGTTTTGGACCCCGCCGGGAGGCAAGGGTACGGTCCCCTTTGGTACACCAGCGTGGGGTTCGGCGGCCTAGTGCGGCTCAGGAGGGGCGAGCGGGTGTATGTCAACATCAGTCGGCCCGATATGGTGGACTACAGGAGGGGGAAGACTTTCTTTGGGGCCGTGATGGTGGGGTGAAGGCCGCCCGCCTCTCTGGGAAGACGATTGCACGATGCGAGTGTGAGAATATTGGGGACCCAGACACCCAGGACCCCGCGGCAGTGAGGAAAATGTAGGAGAGTAGAAAGTGATTTTAAGCCTGATGAAAATAAAAAATGTAAAGCTTAAGGGCTGTCAATACAGACGCTGAGACAGTTGCTAACGTGTCTTAATTCAGGGTGGGTGCAAAGAAGTGGATTAAATATTCTCTGTATTTTTCTATTGCTGGGAAAAAAGCACAACACTAAGTATGGCCTTTGTTCCCAAGAATGTCAGTCTTTGTCCCTCCACCCTCTAACTCCCACCGCAGAACCACCAGGCCCCAGCATCAATTAGTCCAACTGGAGAGGCTAGAAGGAAGGGGATCTTCTCAAACCCTGAAACATCACCAGGCATCCTAATTCTTAGGCCACATGGTTCCCACCAAGAGAATTGCATTTTTTCCCTCTTGGGTCCTGCCCAACAAGGAGAGGGGTCATTACAGGGGAAGGCAAACTCCTCTCAGAAAGGCCCAGCCACAGGATAAACCGCTAATACCAGGAAGAATGATGAGGAATGAAGCAAAGGGGGCCCCAGTGTTTCTCCCTGCAGGAGCTCACGGGCTCAGAAAGGAGGGGGCTGAAGCAGAATGTAGGGGAGGAGATTGTAGTGACTGAAGATGCCGGGGAGGTCTGGGGAGGAGGAAAAACTGATAACACAAAGACCTCTCCAGGGCAGAATGGAAAATCCTCACCCTTTGTTCACACTTTAGGCCTTTCTTTTCCAAAGTGAGCATTGTTGAGTGTGGGCTCCTGGGGTGAATAGTCCTCTCCACCCTAGGACTGACCTTAGCCTCAGGCTGGAGAAGGCACAGAGGGACTTAAGGCCCTATCTAGGTCACTCTCATGGGTCACACCACCCCCACAGCACGCCACAAGGTTTTCCCCTGCCTGACACCCCAGTTTTGGAAGGGAAGTCTAATTTCTGAGCTCAGTGGGGATTGCCACTCTCTTGGGCTCCCTTTCCTTTCCTTTCCTTTCCTTTCTTTCTCTCTCTCTCTCTTTTTTTTTTTTTTAAGACAGTCTCACTTTGTTATCCTGGGGTTGAGTGCTGTGTCATCACAGCTCACAGCAACCTCAAACTCTTGGGCTCAAGCCATTCTCTTGCCTCAGCCTCCTGAGTAGCTGGGATTACAGGTGCCCACCACAACATCTGGCTATTTCTTTTTCTTTTTTTCTTTTTTTTTGCAGTTTTTGGCTGGGGTTGGGTTTGAACCTGCCACCTCCGGCATATGAGGCTGGCGCCCTACTTTTTTGAGTCATAGGTGCCGTGCAATGTACAGCTATTTTTAGAGACAGAGTCTGGCTCTGGCTCAGGCTGGTCTTGAACCTGTGAGCTCAGGCAATCCACCCACCTTAGCCTCGCACAGTGCTAGGATTACAGGCATAAGTCACCGTGCTCAGCCCCTTGGGCTCAAATTCTTACTACATACTTTTGTGTACAGAAGAGACTTCGGGAAGGGGGGTCTTTTCTCTTTCCAGTTCATCTGCTTCACACACCCCCCCCCCCCGCATTCTCCATAAAGACCAGTGAGACCAAGCTGGCATATGAGCCTCTCACCCACATCTTATTCCTTATGCTTTGTCTTCAGGTTCTTCAGTTTCACCCACTGAGTGAATGCAAGGGGACAGAGCAGCTGAGGGTGGATAAAACAAGGAAGCCAGAACTTACTGAGTGCCACTTGAGGTGCCAGGTGCACTGATAGAAGTTAGGTCTTCTGTTCTCAGTGCCACATGTGCAATGGGTGTTCTCATCTCCAGTTGGTAGATGAGAGTTAAGTGACTGGTTCAGGCTGCACAGTTAGGACAGGGTGATTTGGAGCCTAGACACTTCAATCTCTGGAAGTCCCTTGGCTGTGATTCAGGTACCTGAGAATGTGGCTCCTCCCCAGCTCACTCTGGCTGCAACAGCCAGTGGGGAATCTCACCTGAGCTTCAGGACTTTCCCAGCAGGAATTGGAATTCCCAGGGCTGGAAATTCCCATACCCCGAGGGACAGATAATTAGGCTCCAGTTTCCCAGAGGAGGAGGTATATTCCTCTGGGCTTTGCTTATGTAGGGTCTCCCGGCCCCTAGGAGTCTAAGGGAAGGGACTTCAGTCTTAGGCATCTTAAGCCCTTTGAAGAGAGGGCTTCAGGGAACTGCTTCCCACCCCTAAGGAGAGGCAGATGCAGAATCTATTCCAGAAAAGAGAGACCACATTTCTTTTCTAAGCAAACTTTTATTTCTCGCCACTGACCAGTAGGACGATTACAGACATGACTCCCGTGGGGAGTAAAGGCTCAGTGATGTAGTGACAGTTGGTCACCAAATCAGCAGTATTTAGACAACTTGATCAGATAAATATGTTTTTAAAACATAAGCAACAGGAGGCACAGAGGCCAAGAAGCCAGGTGAGAACAGCAGATAGTTCAGCTCCGTTTTCATAGAAAACATTTCTGAACTAAGGCAGCTCCTGCTTGGGTCTCCCAGGATACTCTGACCTCCCAAATAAATACATTCATCAGTAAATAAATAAATAATAAATAAATAATAAATAATCACAAGTGCAAATATAAATAGAGGGAGCTGGCCCCAAGTGGAGGTCTGGACTCTGTCTCAGAGAGGAGTCTGGAAATATCTGAAGAGAGAAAGGCTTAAGGTCCACTCATGTCAAGTTCTGGGGTGAGGTCTTCTCAAGAGATGCTCAAAAGTGTTCTGGCCAGAATAAAAGGCTCCCTGGTTTCCAAATTCTAAATGTCTAAGGTTGAATTCAGGGGTCAAATTCTTAGGCTTTTAGTGAGTTCTGGAAGCCCTAGTTTGAATTCTTGGTGGTGGCCAGTGCTTCATTGTCCAGGCCACACATCCCTGCATCCTAGATTTCTTGAAGTCAGACCCTGAGCCCTTAATTACCTTTCTATGCCAGAAGAGGATGAAGGGACTCTAAAGGAGCAGATAATAAAGAGATTGGACAGGGTCAGGGATGGATGGACATCTGTCTCCCTCACAGGGCAATAATCCCAAAGTAGACCTGCCCGGACTCAGCAAAGTCAAGATAGTCAGGTCGATTGATCTCGGCACTGAGTCGATCACCCTTCTCCAGCTGGAAGACCCCTCCCAGGTAGATGGGCTCATACCAGGGCTTGGCCTCAGCCTCCTCCAGAGTCTCCCTCTGGCAGGGGCTCTTGATGGCAGAGAGGAGGTTGACCTTGTCCTGGTAGGAGACAGCAAAGCGGCGGATGGTGTGAGTGAGGAGCACATGGGTAGAAGGGCAGTCTTGGCCTTTGAAGAGGACCTGGGAGTAGATGAGGTACAGCCCGTCTGATGGAACCACCAGCTGGTTGTCTGTCAGCTTCACACCATTGGCCAGGAGGGCATTGGCACGCTGGCTTAGCCACTGCAGCTGCCCTTCAGCTTGGGGGTTTGCTGGAGAGAGGGAGAGATGAGTCAGTGTGGCCCCATCAGTTCACTCTCCACATCCTGGCCCTTGAATTCTGCCCACCCTTACATCCGGTTCCTCTCCCCTCTGTCTGTCTTCCCACATCCCATCTGGCCATGAGGTTCTGAGTATCACTCATAAGGCCTGTGCTGTTCCTTTACCCTCCCCTTGAGCTTAGTGAGTCCTTCTTACACTGTCTCCAAGGTCTATCTACCCTTGTCCTGAGTTCAGCACCCAAATCTTATTCTTCCAAGTCCCAAGACATGTCCTCAGAGCTCTTACCTACAACATGGGCTACAGGCTTGTCACTTGGGGTTCGGGAGGATGATCCTGAAGAGAAAAGAGGAAAGAAAAAGCTAAGACTCTCACATTCCCTAGAAAATATCCCTGTAATTTGACTTACATTCCTCCTTCCTCTAAATTAAAACTCTAAATTTCCCTCATTGGTTCCATTCCAGTACTAACCTCTTTCCCCAACCCAAACCCAGAATCAGGAGATACTTACTGAGTGTCTGGGCCAGAGGATTGGCATTGATTAGATGGAAGACACTGGGGAGCTATTGGGAAGAAGAAGAATTAGTGTTAGAGAAAGTCACTCCCAAAGGAGGAATAGCTGGCTCTTATTTGGTTTGCATTCCTGCTCAGATGTGTCTGTTTTTCTCTCTCCATTCAGCCATTTGTTCATCCATTCATGCATTCAATAACTCTTTCATTAAGTGCCTTGCACATGCCAGACATCTTATCTTCATCTTTCCTTATCTCTCTTTCCCTCATCACTCTCCTTATTTCACATCTCTTTCTGTATCACCATCTTCCTTCATATTACTTACGTTATGTCCCATCTCTCTGCTCATACCCACATCACTCTCCCCATCTCTCTCTCTCTTCTCTCTATGTATTTGTATATGTGTATGTACACATATATATCTGCTCTCTCATTCATTCATTCACTCATTAAAATTTAATTTAGCGAGCATCTTCCACGTGCCAGACATCCTATCTCTCCATCTTTCTCTCTCTCTCCACCCCCATCTCTCTCCACATTACTTTCTCCCTTTCCATCATTCTCTATGTTTTTCCTCCCATCCCTTCCCATCAGCAAGCACACCCCTTTCATCCACCCCTTCTCTCTACTTCTTTTTCTCCCCCCACTTCTCTCTGCACAGAAGAGTAGATGAAGGCTGTTGAAGCACTCACCTCTTCCCTCTGGGGGCCGATCACCCCGAAGTGCAGGAGGCAGAAGAGCATGGTAGCTCCTGCCACGAGCAGGAAGGAGAACAAGCTGAGGCACAAGCAGCGCCTGGAGCCCTGGGGCCCCCCTGCCTTCTTGGGAAGCTCCTCTTCGGCCACCTCCACGTCCCGGATCATGCTCTCGGTGCTCATGGTGTCCTTTTCAGAGGGAGATGGTACAGCCCTGGGCAGTGCGTGTGGGAGGGCAAGAGTGTGAGTGGCTGTTTCTCTGGGGCTATGGCTTCTGAGGGTTATTTTCAGGGAGGGTCTGGAGTTGCTTCTCTCCCTCCTGCCTGGGCCCCTGATGTCCTCGCTGAGAAGCTTCTGCTGGCTGGGTGTGCAGACAGCTGCCTTTATATGCTACAAGAGAAGGGCGGGGTAGGGTGCTGGGGAAAACTTCCTTGGTGGAGAAACCCATGAGCTCATCTGAGGAAGCGGTAGTGGGCTCTACACCTTCTGTTTCAGTTTCTTCTCCATCGCGGGGGTGGGGATTTGGAAAGTTGGGGACACCCAGGCATCAAGGATACTCCCCACCCTCCCCACTCGGATTCGGAGGCCAGCTTTCTGGGCCAGTTACCCATGTGTGGGGAGGACCGTGGAAGCTGGGCCCTGTTCTCCCTGCCCTCTATTGTCTCAATTTCTTTTGGGGACCAGATCTGTGGGCTGTGTTCCTCTGATTTCCAGACAGGACTCACATGGGGCTAGAACTAGAAACAGGAGGGACTTTAGAAAGTGAGCCCTTGAAGCAGAGAAAATAAAGTGTGAGGAGTGTGGGCTGTGGGTGGAAGCTGTGCTGGGTCCTGAACCCTGTGTCTTGCGGGGAAAGGGGGGAGGAGGGCAAGGCCGCCTGACACTGGGGTCATGCCCAAGGTCTCTGGAAGGGCCAGCCAGGGGTAGCAGAGACAGCCTGGGACAGCCCTGGGGAAGAAATCAGCCCTGGGAATGCACAGACCCCACTGGGGTAGGCCTTCTCCTTTCATTCTGACCTGGAACTCACACTCTGCTTTCAGTCTTACTTTCCAGGGAACTCTGAGGTCCCTGATGTTTTGTCAAATCCTTACTTCTCAGAGCCTTCATGTGTGGCCATGTCTCCTCAAATGCACCCTGAATTCCAATCTCCTAATCCTGGAGCCTCTTCTACTCCTCAGAGCCCTCTTCATGTCATGTCTTCCATGAGGGTCCTTATACTCCACTCCCATAGTCCTTGAGGACTATTCCCCAACCCTTTGCTGTGGTCTTCTCTCTAGAGGTTTCCCATAACCTCCATTCCTCAGAGCCTCAGACCCTGGACCCCCAGCCCTCCAGACCCTGGAACCCCACGTTTCCTTTGTCTTCTCAGCTTATCCTTCAGATCCCTTCAGTAGTCTGGCCATTCTGCCCCCATGAGTCTCAGAGCTCCTTGCCCCTTTCTTGTTCTTCTGACCACAGCTCTTGTCTTCTCCAAGGCCTTTGTCTCTCCCTCCAGCCCTTTCCAGAGACTGGGAAATTTTCTCCTCCCAGACAGACAGACATAAGCAGACAGCATTTGAGAGAAAAAAGGTTTATTTGGCTTTATCAAGGGTGTGAATGTCTCCATGTGGGTGTCTGGTCGTGCAGCTGGCTCTCAGAGCCCTTCACTGCCTTCTAGAGCCCCATGGTCCCTCACATCTACCTTTTTCTTCTCTCAGTCAGCCTCGTGCCGATGCCCTCTCACTCTTCATCTTGCAGGCCTGTTTCTTTCTCTCTTTGAATGTCTATTATTCCCCTTTCTCCGTTCTCCATAAATAAATAATTTAGTTTCCCCCTTCATAAATATTCCCCCCAACCCTCCCCCCATGTGCCTGCTCCTCCTCCCGTCCAGGTCTAGGGCCCTCACTGGTAGGACTAATAGCTCTGGGTTGGGAATTTCTAGGCAGCCTTGAAATCCTCAGTTGAACATCCGGGGTGGGGTGGGTCAGGGAGGTGTGGTTCCCTGGGGTGCCTAGAATTCTTTCTTTGAAAGCTCCAGGTGATTTGAATGGGGAAGACTTGAGACTGTTGAAATGATCAAAGGAGAGGTGGTGGTGACCCCTGAAACAGTCAGAATGGAGGCAAAATGGGGAGAAGGCGTTGAAACCAATTATTTTTTCTTTCTGAGTTTTCCCAAATTCTATACAGCAAAGGCTCCAAAGAAGACACTACTGGGGGTGAGGAATAGGTGGGAGATGCCAACTGTGTGAGTGGACAGCTGGTCTCCCTGGGTGAGCAGGAATGCAGCCCCATGGTACATCGAGTGCAGCCAAGGTCCCTGGGCCCCTGGGCACATGGTCTTCTGGGAGGTGACAAGAGGAATCTGGAAGGAATACCGGGAGGAGAAGAGCCGGATCTCGTGGGCCAGGTACAAAGAGCTGAGGGTGGCTTCAGGGGGGCAGGCTTGTCCATAGAAGACCACCTGAGAATAGATGAAGTAGACACCACTGGCAGGGACCAGGAGGGAATTGTTGCTCAAAGAGAAGCCATTTTGGAGGAAGGCGTAGTCTATGTTTGCTTTCCAGTGTAGTGAGTCTTGCTTGCTGGGGTCTCCTAGGAAGAGCCATAGAGGGTGAGGGTGGGGTCAAAGGTCTGGGTCAGAGGTCTCAATCCCTGAGGAAACAGGCACTGGCTGCCTGAGTTCCTGGGGGATGGTTAGGGGAGAGGTAAGAGTGGGCTGCCTCTGTTTGGGGTTGGGGGAAGTTGGAGTGCATGCCTGGGCCCCTAAACTGAGGGTAGAAGGAGAGCTGGGGGTTACATGTCTGGGAGGTCATGTGAATGTTTACCAATGAGGTGAGCAGCAGGTTTGAGGGTGCTGGGGGTGAAATGCTTCTGGAGCTGCTGATGGGCAGTCTGGGCAGCTGAAGGTGTGAGGCCAACACCAGGGAGCCCCTAGGATAGAAGAGAGTTGTGGGGAGCTCTAGAGCTCAAGGTTTGGCTGGGCCACCCTGGCATCCCCCATTCTCCTGCTGCCTCACCTGGGTCCCAGGCAACAGGGCCAGCAGCAGCCCCAGAAGGAGGAGGCGGAGGGGGGTGCCATGCACCCTTGGGAGGTAGAGATGTCCAGGTGGTGTCATGGGGAGAGAACCTGCAGGGAGAGAGGCAGTGAGTGGGGCGGGGCACGCTGTAGAAGTCAGAACTCCTGCCGTGGAGACAGCCACCCAGAGAGATGGGGCAACACAGAAGAGGACACGATGCAGACAGGGAAACCCCGAGGTGAATAGAGGGACACAGAAAGAGAGACAGGAGGGAACAGAGAGGGACTGTGGCAGAAACAGAGAATATGTGAGAGAGACAGAAAGAGACTGACAGATGGAGAGCCAGAGACAGGGGAGCATATCAAAACCAAACCCACCAAGGCCCAGGCCCAGGCAGGCCAGGGATCCAGGCAGCAGGCACAGAAAAGGCAGGGACCCAGACTGAGGGCAAGACACCTCAGTTTAGCAGTCTGAGCCACAAGCAGCCCAAGGAGATGGGTCAGGAGAATCTCACCTGCTGTGTGGGCCCTCTGGACCCGGACGCTTGGCTCCCTTTATAGAGGAAGCGGCAGTGGCAGCGTGGCAGGCAGCGGGCGGGTTCTAGGTCGGGGCTGGGGCTTGGGGAAGCCCCCAGGGCTTAGAAGATGGTGCTGTTTCAGCCGAAGGCAGGAAAGGCTGAGGCCTAGGAGAGAACCACAGGTTTGGGGGTCAGGTGACTGAGTTCTGGGAAAGGGAGTGGGGTCAGAAGAACCATGAGCTGGGAGGGCCAGGGAGTGGGGTCAGAGCAACCATGAGCTGGGAGGGCCAGGGAGTGGGGTCAGGCTTAGGCGTTCCAGAGAAAAGACAGTCAATTCGGAGAGGAAGAGGCTGAGTGAGTGGATGGGTGTGGGCTGGAGGTCTGGTTCCCTGAAGATCAATCACATAACACCTCTGTCTCTGCACCCTTGACTGATTATAGGCTTCTCTCTTTGCCCATTTCCTTCTCTTGTACCCCTGTCCTTGTCCCAAATGACTCAAGGCACGCTTGTCCCAGTATGTGTACTTTCTAGCTCATTTGGCAGGTTTCTTATCAAGAAGTTCCTTTAAACACCCCTTTGCCTAAACATCCTGGTGTGCACATTTTCCTGGTGAAAAAACTATATATATGTATGTATACATATATTTTTTGGGGGGGGGGAGATGGGAGTGTCATTATATCACCCAGGATGGTCTGGTACTCTGGGCTCAAGCAATCCTCCTGCTTCAGCCTTCCAAGTAGCTGGGATTATAGACGAGTGCCACCACACCTGGCTTGATGAAAATATTAACGGAGCCCCATTCCGCTTTTGAAGTGTCCTGGTTTGGAAGATAAACTTTTTGGTCCTCTTACCCAGAGATGATGCCATGTACTCGTGTTTGATGAGGCCTCATCCCACTTCCAAAGGATGACCTCTACCTCATCCTGACCTAAAGTGGCTCTCACAGATTTATTTATTTTTATTTTTATTTCTTTTTGAGACAGAATCTCTTTCTGTTGCCTGGGCTAGAGTGCCATGGTGTCAGCCTAGCTCATGGCAACCTCAAACTCCTGGGTTCAAGTGATCCTTTTTCCTCAGCCTCCCAAGTAGCTGGGACTACAGCCATCTGGCACCACGCTCGGTAGTAGCGATGGAGTCTGGCTTTTGCTCAGGCTGGTCTTGAACTTCTGAGCTCAAGGGCTCCTCCTTCCTGAGCCTCCCAAAGTGCTAAGATTACGGGTATGAGCCACTGTGCCCAGCCCCCCACAGATTTTATACAGGCAGTCCCTACATTATCAACAAGATAAATTCTGTAGATTTGTTCTTAAGTTGAATCTTTATGTAAGTTGGAACTGGTACATTTACCTATTCCTATAACAGCCTCTGTTTGTAAGTGTGAGTTGTATGTCATTTGGATGTTTGTAATTTGCAGACTGCCTGGAACCCCAAATAAGCATACACTCTAGGATCAATGTAGCAGACAGCTTCTAAGCTTTCTATAGTGGAAGCTTTAGAATTCCACACAGAAGGGATTTAAGGTTGGTGACCCACGGTGGGGTGGGGACAGGTAAGGGACTTATCTAGAAGCTGCATTTGCAGAGCCAATCTACGGATTTAAAATTGTTCAGAACTTACATGTGTAATTCTAGCACTTTAGAAGGCCAAGGTGGGGGGATTGCTTGAGGCCAGGAGTTTGAGACTAGTTTAGGCATCATAGTAAAACCCCATCTCTATAAAAAATAGAAAAATTAGCTGGGCATGGTGGCACATACCTGTAATCCTAACCACTTGGGAGTCTGAGGCAGGAGGGTTTCTTGAGCCCTGGAGTTAAAGGCTGTAGTAGGGAGCTATCGTCACGTTATTGCCCTTTAGCCTGGATGACAGAGCAAGATCTTGTCTCTACAGCCAGGCATTGTGCAGTGGCTCATGCCTGTAATCCTAGCTTTCTGGTAGGCCAAGGCAGGTGAATTGCCTGGGCTCAGGAGTCTGAAACCAGCCTGAGTAAGAGCAAGACCTTGTCTCTACTAAAAATAGAAAAAAAAAAACAAACCCTAAACTAGCTGGGCATTGTGGTGGGTGCCTGTAGTCCCAGCTACTTGGGAGGCTGAAGCAAGACCCCAGGAGTCTGAGGTTGCTGTGAGCTATGAGGCCACAGCACTCTACCAGGGGGGGACAAAGAGACTGTCTTAAACAAAAATCCTGTGGCTCAAGTGGCTAAGGTGCCAGCCACATACACCTAAGGTGGCAGGTTTGAATCCAGCCTGGGCCGCCAAAACAATAATGACGGCTGCAACCAAAAAATAGCCAGGCGATGTGGCAGGTGTCTGTGGTCCCAGCTACTTGGGAGGCTGAAGCAGGAGAATTGCTTGAGCCCAGGAGTTGGAGGTTGCTGTGAGCTGTGATGCCACAGCACTCCACCCAGGGGGATAGCTTGAGGCTCTGTCTCAAAACAAACGAACAAACAAACAAACAAAAATCCCTAAAAACATGGCTCAGCATCTGTAGCTCAGCGTCTAGGGCACCAGTCACATACACCAGAGTGGGTTTGAATCCAGCCTGGGCCTGCCAAACAACCATGAAATAGCTGGATGCTGTGGCGGATGCCTATAGTCCCAGCTACTTGGGAAGCTGAGGCAAGAGAATCACTTAAGCTTAAGCCCAAGAGCTTGAGGTTGCTGTGAGCTGTGACAACACAGCACTCTACCGAGTATGCCATGTGAGACTCTGTCTCAAAAAAAAAAAAAAACAAAACCCTAAAAACAAATCCGCCCCCCCTCCCGTAAAATAAAATGGTTCTTTTAAATTGATGTATAACATAGGTACAGTGAGGTTCATACCTCTTAAGTATTCAGCTGGTGGATTTTCTATGTAGCCACCACCAAGCTCCACAGGTTAGGTCCCCAGAAGGTTCCCTAATGCCCCCTCCTTGGCAATACCCTCCAAAGATAACCAAGTCCCTCTGTCACCAAAGATTAGTTCTTCTTGCTTTTGAACATCATATAAATGAAATCACACAGAATGTACTTATTTGTTTGGCTTCTTTCAGTCAACATTATGTTTGTGAGATCGCCCATGTGGCTGCATGTATCTCAATAGTGTTTTTTAAAACTGTGATGTACTACTCTCTTGTGTGAACATACTCTAATGCATTCTTCTGTTGATGGGCATTTGGTTTGTTACTAGTTTTTGGCTAATATGAAAAATCTCAATAGGAGCATTCTTATATAGGAGACAATTTTTGCATCGCTTGCAAGTTATAAGATTTAAAAAAAAAAGAAAGTTTCTAAATATTTTGTTCACTTTTTGTAAGTTTGAGATAATACCAACTGGCTACCTTAAGTGTTATTATTACAGCTATGATACTGTGATGTCACTTGGAGGATATGAGGGGCTGGCCCTAGGGCTGGTGGTGACCAGAGCTGAAGCCCACTGTTGCACAGGGCACACCAATGCTCTCCTTAGGTACGAGGTTCCTGAGCAGTCTTGGTGTTCTGAGGCAAGTAAATAACATTCCAAGTGTGTATGAGCTATTTGTCCTGTTTTCCTCCCTTACTCGAGTTCCTGCAACTTTGCCTTTTATACTTTTCTAGTCTTAGCTCTTATTTCTTTTTGTTCTGTAGGAACAGAGAAGGGTGATCCCTTTTCTCACCCATCTTAAAGATCATAGCCCACAATTCTAACAAAAGTCAGGTTAACTAGAAAAGCATAACAAATTTATTTAATCAAAGTTTTACATGTCATGGGAAGAAGGCCTCAGGAAAACTATTTTTTTATGCTTAGATTTGATGAAGAATGAATAGCAGTGCAATATAGGCGAAACGCCTATATGCCTCTGGCCAAAAAAACCAGAGAGACAGCAGTGAAAGGACTTTGGGCAAGCATACTTGTGAGAAACTGAGGCAGAATCCCATATGGCCAGGTTGGTTGCGAGCCTAACATGACCAAGGCTCTGGCTGGAATAGCATTTCCAGAGATGTCCAGACTGCGTTAAGGAATTAAGGTTGACTTTATACGGCCAATAAAAAAGCCCTTTGGAAAACTGGCCAGATACCCATCAGTAACCTTTCCTGATCTGTGGTGTAATGAAGGTTGCTTGCTAATGGGTCCGGGAATGGAAATGTGCAGGGTGGGGGGGGGACCTCAAGAGGAGAGGAATTTACCCAATGCATACAGGTATCTAAGGGCACAGATGAAACCTGGGCTTGTGAAAGGCCTTTGAGAAGTCCAGCCTGAAAATTCCTTATAAAAGGTCCAGCAACCCCCCCCCCCCGACTTAAGGCCTACATGGGAGCGGAGGTTTGCACACAAATCCCTATATGCCCTAAGAAGTTTCTTTATGCCTTGTTTAAAGATCTGAAGTAACAGCCTCCAAATGGCAAGGCCAGCAAGGGCAGGTATTCAATCTACTTTGTTTTTCCATAGCCTCAGGCTTCGTCAGATAAGAACAAAGAAGTAATGGCTGACAACATGTTCTCCATTAAGTTATGTTAAACTGGGTTATGTTGAAAGAATTATGGTTAAAGGTGTGTGTTGGGTGGATTATCAGATTACTAGGGAGGAGCTACTCATGAGGTACTCACAAGATGTTTAAATGGATTAATA